TCTATCACGCTAACCCCCCCCTCCCCCCCATGGTTCGACTCCCAGCTGCGCCGTGTAGCGGGGGTTGGTTGAACGTGTGAACGTGGTTGGTTGGGTGTAAACGGTGGCTTGGTGTAAACGGTGCTGCTGCTGCCGCTCTGCTGCTTGCTGCTGCTGTTTGCTGCTGCCGCTGGTTGCCGCTTTTGTAGCTGCTGCTTTGCTAGTTGTTGCGGCTTGGTGCCGCTGCTGCTGTTGCTGACGACGCCGCTGCTGCTGCTTGCTGCTGCTGCTGCTGCTCGCTGCTTGCTGCTTGCTGCTTGCTGCTTGCTGCTGCTGCTTGCTGCTTGCTGCTTGCTGCTTGCTGCTGGTGGTGGTGCTGCTTGGTGCTGCGCTGCTGCTGCTGGCTGGCTGCTGGTTGGTGGTTGCTGCTGGCTGCTGGCTGCTGGCTGCTGCAGCGGCTGCTGTTGCTGCTGCTGGCTGCTGCTTGCTGCATAGGCCTTGTACTTCACTGCTACAAGTTCTTTACCCTATTTCTAGCCTAATGCATGCATAAGCGGGGGGTAAATTTACCCTCCAGATTTGCCATAACCATAAGCCGGCTGTTTGCTCAAGACACTCTACTCCTTATACCTTTTACCAGTGCTTATCCTACACTACGGACGCCCTTGTGTATGCACAGTCCTTGTGATGCCAAAAATGCTTACCCCTCTTTCCGGCACAAGGCATACATAAGCGGGGGGTAAATTTACCCCCCAGAATTGCAATAACCATAAGCCGGCTATTTCCTCAAGACACTCTATTCCATATACCTTTTACCCGTGCTTCTCCTACACTACGGACGCCCTAGTGTATGTACAGTCCGTGTGATGTCAGAAATGCTTACCCCTCTTTCCGACTCAAGGCATACAAAAGCGGGGGGTAAATTTACCCCCCAGATTTGCCGATCACGCATCTTCGTGCCTGCCAACGAGTGCACCCGTGTTGTTCCAATGTACCCTTCCCAGTCGGCGATGTCACATTTACATTCTTTAGCGCAAAGTGTGTACGTAGCAACCTTTCTCCCAAAACATGTAATCACTACGTGCTTTGCGGACTATGTAACTAGTACATCCGGTGCGATTCGGCTAGCTTTCGACCTCCTCCCCCTGGCCTCAAGTACCTTCTTGTGCACAGTGTTCATATGTAATTGTATACAGTATTCGGTTTGTCATCGTTTCGGCTACGCCTCAACTGAGTGATGGTGTTGATGGTTCGAGTGCTTTCTCTCTTGTGCAAAAGTGCTTGTAGCAGTAGCAGAAAAGATACATCTAGCACTTGAGTTCAGATGAATCAATTACGTGTCGGCTAATGTTAAGTTTCCCTAACAATCTAGGAACCAAATCATTAGTGCACATTAGTGCGAGCGCTATCCTGCGTCCTGTCGGCAGTAGCTACTTGCAGGTAGTGGCTACCTCTCCCTATTAGCTACCACTCACTACCTAGCTGGCTAACCTGTCTCTACTAGCGGCCTACCCCTCTAAAAGAAATATATAAATCAAATCATTTAAGTTTTTTCAAGCGGAGCTGTTGATGCACAGAGCCTGACTTTGATCCTGAGGCCTGGAGCTTTTCCCGAAGATCAAATCCCTGTGAGAGAGGAGTCGATGCCGACGCAGAGTTTCCATTGACTCTGTACATAAAGGTACACAAATAGTATCAAATAATTAACAGTCCATGGCAGGGGAGAAAGAAGGATGTTTGCTTCTTACTTGGGTAGTGTACAAGTTTGTCCTTCAACAGCACGTCGGAATGTACCAACTGAAGCACATCGTGCGAACGTGGAGTGATACTGCTGGCAGATGAGTGTGCCACGTGTCATCTTCGCAAGTCGCGTTTTGCTCCTAGTAGCTTCGCAGTCGTGTGCGGAGGGTCGGATCTGTCTTTGAGCGCTGATACAGCGATTCGATTGTTTAGCACACATGGCTTGCAATGCCGAGCAACCGTGGGGGTTGGTTGATGGGACCGCATCAACATCACGCTTTGTTTCACGTTGGAAGCCGCTTCAAAGACCGTGTCATCACACACTCATGGTGACCGAAAGAGAAGCGTTGTCATTCGATATTGGAATTCTGCAGAGCAAGGATTTCTTTGTGAAACTCATGTTCTTCTTCTGCAGAGCAAGGACTCGCACTGGAATAGCAAGCTGATCTGGTGGCGTCAGTTGTTTTCAGAGATTGTTCTTGTAAAATTGTGGCTTGAGCAAAAAGAGACTCTTCTTTGCCCGCGGGCTGTACCAGCTGTTCGCATCTAAGCTTCACATTGTTGCGTCCACTGAGCATTCTATTTTGCGTCGGAGGCGGCATCGAGCAATTTGGGTATATTAAAATATATTCCATGAATTCGGGTTTTACCCCTCCTCCAACATAAAGCCCGCTGATTGAATCTGAGGTCATCATGGATTCAATGTTTGCCTTGACTATGAACGCTCCATTGTCTTCGCTTTCTCCACGAGCTCCAGCACCTCGACTGACAAGTCTGGCCAACATTACATTTAGGGTTACCTCAGAATCATGTATGGGTATGTATTTTAATAGCGAGACCCCCAACCAATGGGTTTGGCCTATTTCCCTTCTTCCAGGGGTCGGAACGCCTGGGAGGTCTCCCTATTGTAATACACATCTCTCTATGCTCACGTCTCCACGTCTCTCGGTGTCCTCTCTCTGCAGGTTCTGCGGATTCGGCTCGATGCTGGGGTTCCCAGTGTCAGAATTTTCCCTCGTTGGGACAAACAGCCGAGCACAGCATAGCAGAACGATTGTGCAAGCACTTGGCAGAACAGCTTAGCAACAGCCAACTTTTTCTTCCAAGAAACAACGCCAAAAGGAACACTAGCTCCTTGGTCCTTGGGAAAGAGATCCTGTACTTGCACATGTCTGAGGAACGGCGGATTCGGCGGCGGATTCACCGGAAGCGGTAATGCAGCTTGGATCCAAAAAGGCCTTTAAGTAAATGTGTCATATATCAGGGTTTGGCATAGCGCAGGTGCAACTTGGAACGGATGAGTCACACAGCCGCTTGGCTTCTTCAGTCAGTTTGCAAGAATATCAAGTCCGCTGCGAAAGTCAATTGGTTGGTGTGTCGGCTTCAAGCAAACTGTGATATATATATATATATGTCATATATATAAATATATATTGATTATACATAAACTAATAGCGCTTCTAAGTTGTCCCGGGGTATAACAATTGGCCAGAAGATGCCGATGCACCGCCTTGTCGTGTGGGGCCTCGGTGCATGCTGACATGCATAGGCAACGGACAGGGTTGAGGCAACGGGCAACGGTTGAAGCGAAGGCCGATCGTTGCATTGACACTTTGAATTCGATTCGATTCCGCAAGCAGTTTGATTCCGCGCACACCGTCACTCAATGCGATTGATGCGATATGCTCGTAGATGCCCGTCGGCCCGTCGTTGTTGGAGAGCGATTCATTGTTCCGAAGCGATTCCACATGTTCATGAAGCCAGTGAGATTGTATTTCCCCTGATATCATGGTGTTTTCCATTCTGTTAGCTCACCACATGAACACACAACAAACATCCAATAAAGCAAACAGTGCAGTGCTGCGTAAGTTTGCTCACATTCACGCACCCAAAAGCGCCCAAGAGGTCGCCCAAGGGTCGTCCTGTTTGCCTCGTCAACTGCTCGGGTCACCGCGAAACCGTTCCGGCAAAACGGGTCACCGCGACCGCTACGCCCGGAACTGAGGCCCTGCTCCAAGCACTGGGACCGGAAGAGCGGCTCATGGTCATTCAAGACAAACTCACACAGGCATGGTTGATCCATGTTGATCCTGAGCTGTCGAGAACAGGACACCTAAGTAACTACTCAATATTACACACATGTATATAATAAGGTCACTACAACACAATGTAAATTGTGTGTTTCTTTGTGGAGGTTGATGGACATTGCGTTTGGCTCTGTGATGTTTCGTCCCTCCAAGAGTTGTTGAGAGTCGGACTTGACAGGCACAGCGCCTTGCACTTGAGCAGTGGATGCTCAAAAAGCGTGTTTCAACCTTTGCTAAGCCAAGGCTGAATTGCATCCTTGTCAAAGTGAAAGTTTCTATGATCCGTGGGCGGTTTGGCAGCAGTAGTAGACTTAGTGCACGTAATGTATCCAAGGCTACTGCAGGGTGCAAAGCAAACTTGAAGCCTCAAGGACACTATGCAAGAGCCATCAACATACTTTTTGACATGTTTTCTCACATTTCTGTGATCTCACCATGGATTGCACTGGCTTCAGGACTCCGCAAGAGGAGGACTCTTCAGAGCAGCCAGGCATTTGACGTCGGATCAGACGTCCAAGCAGCGTTCACCAATGTTCACCACCTGGTTCTGATGTGTTCTGATGCTCGTTGTTTAGGCCAAGCGGCTTGTTGAGCAAGACTGCTGTGAAAGAGGCACGCGGAGCAGTGCTCTGCTGGGGGCCCAGCATTCGCCATTGACCTTCTTGCGTAGTCCAGGGACCTCTTCTGGGCGCCATGTGGTGCACCTAGGCTGGGTGCGGACATCACTGAATGGAACGCGCAACCGCGACTTGCTCACCTTTGCCAGGTCGTGGCTTTTATGCTCAAGCCAAACTTTCGGTTGCTTCTCAACAGGCCTTGACAGTGACGCGCGGTAGCAAGGGCGGCGGCCTGGTCAGAGGAAACGACGATATTCGACATCCCCTGCCGGCTCAAGCCATAGGGTTTGAACCAAAGTGGCTGAAAAGCTTTGGGGGGCACAGAAAAAGAACCATAAAACACCAACAAACGTCCATGAAGCATGGAAAGGCTATACTGCTATGCTGCCCTCACCAGCCCCATGGACCCTCCCAAATAACTTGGCGGCACCTTGGCGGCTGCGTAAAGGGTCACCGCTTGGTAACAGCACCGCTTGGTAACAGCACCGCTTGGTAACAGCACCGCTTGGTATCCTGTGCTCTCAAACAGGCTTCTTTTTGGGGCTTGGGTGCCTTAGAGGCCGGTAGTTCTGGAGCCATGACCATCTTGCATGATGCAATGTGGCAAGCACCCAGAGAACTCTCTGGTGTGAAGTCGCGAAAGCGAGCGGTTTTTGAAATTCCATTGGGTTCAATGGACGCAGCCAGCAATGCTGGTATTCATCGTGTTTCAGGTCACAATCTGAGTTGGACATTTGCACTCAACAGTTGAAATTGACATGAACTGATACTGCGTGTGCATGTTCGTGCCAAAATATCTTGATCAATAACATCTCGCATGTGTCCCCCCCGTCGCACGCGACCATGTGGTCAAAGCTACTGAGCCTTTCTAACTCCAGGTGTTCGTGTGACTCCAAAGAGCAAGCATTTCTCTCAGGGTCATGACGCACACACTCACACACTCAGAGCGCGTGAGACACACACACACACCTTGAAAGAAGTAGTGGTGGAAGATCATGTGTTTTGTGTGTGTGTGTTGAATTACTTGAAGCAGAGCGAGCGAAGAAGCAACATTCAGAGACCATCCAAATCTCACAAGTTTCTCAGCCTACAGAGGGCAGCCTTGATTCTGACATCATACTTGGTGCACTTCAGGCGCCCTTGCACCAGGCTTCGTCCTAGCAAGCCAGCTTCTTTTTTCGTGTCCTTTCATTTTGCTTCCACCTCTATGATCTCAAATACGCCCAGCTTGGTATGCACGTTTGATTCCAATACGTATCCTTGTGCACTGAGTTTCGTTGAAGTTACAGAGCACCTGTTTGAGCAAGCTGCAACCTATCTTCGGGCTCTTTACTTATATAATATTATATATATAAAGTGTTCATGTCTTCTGCCACGTTCATCAGTACCATTAAGCAGTTCAAAGACAATTCAGCACATGTCACAGAAAGTAACAATCTGCTAATGAGCTTATTGCAGAAAGTGTGACCCCCACGTCGAATCTGAAGCAACATGAAGCCAGGCAAATCTTGAAAGGTCTATTTAAACAAATAAAAAGAGCGGGCGGCTAAGGCGGGTAACGCCCCCCTGAAATAAGGCCTTTAAAGGCGGTCTTACTTACATGATGGTTGCTTAGACCTTCACAGCAGTTTTCCAGTTCCCTTTTATCAAGACGCATTCACCCCAAAACGCTCAAACCGACGACTCAAGGCCTCAAAGTGAGCCTTGAGAGCCGCATTTCTGCGCTTGGCTCCGGTGGCCGTGTGGCTGTGGAGTTGCTCCTGGGTCGCCCGCTCAAGGGCCAGGTGCGGGCCCTGCGGGCTGCACAACGTTCAAACATGTTCGACAGAAGCTGGGGGTAAAACCAGAAAAAAGCACTAGGTTGCTGCAGGTGGCAAACAGCAAGAACCACTTGCAAATGGTTTAAGCAGAGGTCAAAACAAATGGTTCGCATGGCACGGCAAAAGAGCAAACAGACTGCCTGCAGGTGCACCGCCACGAAGAGCTGCAAGTCGCGCATTTGTCTTCCAATTTGGCTGGTGATGAGGCCACAGTTGGTGAACACTTAGAAGCTGTAAAGTCCATCTTGGAGACCAGGCTCGACATGCTGGCGGTGGGCAATGTGAACCCAGCATTAAAATTAACGTTTCAAAAAATATATAGTGCAATAAGTGATTGTGTTTGGATTCTAGACATTTTTTCTTGCAGTTGGCGTTCTTAGCTTCATCGTATGTCTCATCTCAGAAACCACAAAAAGACCATTGCAGATCATTGAAGACTAGGTTCCAAACAGGTTAAAACATCGAGTTTGAAAGTGGACGGAAAAGCAAGGGCTGGTGCCCGTGCCACTCTGCCACTCAAGAAGCATTGATGGAATATCAACGGGTTTTGGACGGGTGGTTGCTTCACAAGAGAATGTGCGAAGTGTGACAAAATTGAGTTTTGCGGCCGGCCTTCAAGGGAGGCTCGCCAGGTTGTCATGGCGCTTTGAGGCCTCTGGTATTGTTTTGCTTCGTGTGTAAATTGTCCAATAGTATTCCGCAATATTCAGCATCTGTCCAAAAGTGCTCCAATATGCCGTTCGCAAAACTATTCAATATGATTTTTCACAGATGAGATGCTAGCTGTCCAAGTGCACTCAGTGCGTTGTCAGGATTCTTTCCTGTCAGAGTCCTTTTGTACATGTACTGGACACTCGTAGTTTCTAAGCTGGATTCACATCGGAGTCACCCCCCATCTTTGACTTCCTTTCTTTGGCAACTCTTGCGCATGTGTAATCAGACTTGTGAACTGTTTATTCTGGTGTGACACTTGATGGCAATCAATGCCAAGAGACTGATACAGCGGCCTTTGGCCAGCACAGAGCACCATCAAAGCTTTCGCTGAGATGGCACAAACAGTGCACCTATCAATGCTTCTGACACTTGTCCTCAACAAGTCTTCCTACTGGCTAGCTAAAGATCACGCAACAAAAGAACGTGCTCTTCAAGTGCTACAAACCGCGCTGCAAACGGTTTGCACGACCACCGTCTTGCTCTTTAACGAGTCGCTGTGTCCCAGGAGTCGCTCAAATTTTACCCACCGCACGGTGCGATCGTAAACCACCGAGAGACAAGACGAAGACAACCACCAACGACAACACAGACCAAAACGAACATGGAGGCATCAGATCATCCTTGAATTGGAAAAGCGACCGGAAATCGCGCGGGGGGGGGGTAGGAGCAATGTTCGCTACTAGGGGCTCCTGGCATTGCTACTAGGAGCAAGGACGCTACTAGGGGCTCCTGGCCATACTACTAGGAACAAGAAGCTATTAGAAACAAGAGTACAAATAGCGTTACCGTTACCTTCAGAAGACCAACCGCCTGCAGCCTGAGAAACCCAACGACCAAGGAAAGCTCCTTAGAACCATTGAAATCCAAACAAACGTCATTACCCAACACAAAACCACCAGGATACTGAGAATACCACCAGCAACTACGCACAATATACATCACAGACTATATACATGTACGTAGGTGTTGTATGGTTTAGTGTTGTGTGATATTGGGGACAGGTAGGCTGGAATATGTTTATGCGCTGTTATGTGTGGATGTTCAAAGGATTGCAACCTCCCTCAGGCCGCAGGTGGTGGTTTTGGACTCACAGGGAAATGCTTCCTGGACCGCTGCATTCCAGATGCTGCTGCAGGCATTCAAGTACCTGTGCCATCTTGTCGTGCCAAAGGAAGCCATGCAAAAAGCATTGTGGATTTAAAGTCCTTCTTTAGAAAGAGTCAGAGGATGTCAAAGGTCTTCGTTGAATACCACTGATGACAGCACGTCCTTTTGGGGGTACACGACAGGGCCGTCTGGGCTCACGGAAGACAGCCTCCTCGCCATATCTGGCTCAGGCGAAAGAAGCTTTGCGTGGCTTCCGTGGCGCTATTGTCCTGGTGGTGGACGAGGAGTTGGCGAAGACTGACCTTGCGCAGTTTGAAGACTGATTTTACACAGGGAACGCGCATTACATTCATTAGGAAAGTGGCTCTTGGGTGCGCAAACCTTTGTGAAGGAGTCTGAAGCGATTAAAGAAATGTGCTCACAGCGCTGGCGGCAGGGAGGAAGCTGGCTTTGGCAGGAGATTACAGTTGAATATGTGCCCGTTGACCATTACCCTTTCCTTTCGTTCATAAGTTGCAGATTTGAATGTCGAAAGTCATCACTGCTTCTTTACAAATTTTGTATATAAACAAGTTGAAGTCTCTGTCTAGAATATATATATATATATGAACACACTCTCTGGTACACTGCCGGAGCATGCCCTAGCCGGCCCTTCAAAGTGTTGACTGTACTTTGATGTGTTTTCATAAAACAATCACCTGTGTTTTGCACCATATATAGATGCATAATATGCAACATTGCATTTACAACATGTATTAGATCGTCACATCAAAAAGACCAAGAGCATGTGACGAACAATTCAAGGGCTCATGGCAAAGATGGAAAGGAGCATGTGTATGTTTGCCACGTGCAGGTCCTGCACCCATAATATCAATGCTTATACAGGTGAAGAGTGTTCTGCATGTTGTTCAATAAGCTTTTTTGAGACCTGGGTTTTCCCGCATGTGACTATGGTCAACATGTGTCTAGCACCGCTCATTTCTACCACAGAAAGAAATCATTGCTCAGCATTGCAGGAGCCGATAAAGCAAGATTTGACAATTGTGGAAGATGTGTTTCTCGGCAAGTGCGGCAACAGATTTGGCGTGTGAGGTGTAGCAAAAGATCCCTCAATCAGTTGCATGTTTCAGTCACCCTCGAATCAGGCTGAATGCAACAAAGACTGATGAGCTGGAGCAAATGTTGCAAAAGGTCCGGGAGCTTTCCGCTGAAGCATTTTTTGGTGAAGACAGCGTGGAGAAGTCCGGATCCAGAGGCGATATTGGACACTCGATTGCTGACGGAGCGGACAGTCAGTGCCATGCAGTGGCGGGACGGGACAGTTCAGAAAAAACACCGTGTGTTGAATCCATGAGATTTATATAATTTGCTTGGTATTTCTCTGAGATGTGCAAATATGCTGTCATGATGTGCAAAATTCCTTTCGCGTGTCACAGTTAAGACATGATGTTGTGCTAGTGGCCATATTGTTCAGGCTGGTCGCTTTGCCTCCTGGTCGATCAAGCAGCTTGTGATGCAAGTCGTTTTTGCGGCTTCATGTGCTATCAGTTGAGCGCGAAGAACTCTGAATTTCACATTGCACGGATTGCTGTGATTGCCAGGACACGGGGATTGCACCTCGAATTGGCTACTATGCTAGTATTTAACGCCTACAGTATATTCTATTCTCTTTGAATGATTCAATGAAGCCGTCCTCATTGGATCTGAAATGAGTTTTGCTTGAACGCCAAGTTCAAGTTCATACAGATTTAGTCTAGTTGAGTGGTTGACCAAGCTTGGGAGTCCAAGTTTCTGCATAGGAGCCGTGGAAAAGGCTATGGCAAGCACTTCATGCAATGGGCGCTTGAGAAGTGTTCATTTCTGCCTCGATCCACTTGTGCATGGACAGCCCGGGGCCAGTGGACGGTGGCATGAAAGCGGCTAACCACTGGTGAACTGAAAGCAGGTTAGTTAGTTGTACTGTACAACCTGGATGCTAGGCAGGTGAAGTGGACTATGCACTACGGATTTGTGGGCATACTTTCCCCATAGTGGGCTAGAACCCAGATTCTCAGATCATTGTACCTTTTTTCTGCAAGTTTCTGCAATTAAAACCTCTATGAAAGCACAACAAATGAGTTTGTTTGGAGCTTCAGCTTCAGTCGCACACAAGGTCACAGATGACTGATGTGCGACATGAGCTCTTCCTTCATCTTTCTTTGGCAAAGAAAAAGACTCCGTCCCCGTCCGCCCCAGGTCCAAAACCAAAGACTCCGCGCCCGTCCGGATTCAAGAAGAAACCGGTCCTTCAGACCGAATGAGGATCGCCTCGCCCGACCGGATTCAGACCCGAACGAGGATCTCCCTCAGCGCGCTGGATGAAGCTGTTCCTTTCTATGAGCACTTTGGGTTCACTGACATGACCTGTACCTTTGCTGGACAGGTTATTTTTGTTCCCCCTTGTATTGAGATCTGCAAAAGAATACTAAACATCACCGCGCAAAAAGAATGCTCAAACGAAATGATAAGCATATCCTCAGGTGATGACCTGGATGACGATAAGCACATCCAAACGCTACTGGACAGCAGAAATCAAGCTGACCAGTCGCCTTGTTTCCGTGGATGGGTCGTGACCCCGAGTGAACCACCGGTCATCACCGAACCACCGTAGGACACCGACCATCCTTGCGACCCGCCTCGCCAGATCAACTCCGACTTCGTCGCTTTTCATGTCAAGTGTCACTCAGGTGGATGGAGCTCAAAAACATCTCTGTGCCGCACATAGGGATGGGAAGGATGGGACGCCCTGAGGGGCGTTCGGCTGATTGAGGGCTTTCGTTCGTTTGCTGATTGAGGTGGTGGAAGACGATCCAGATTCTGACAACGAATGAGGACGCTCCCCCTTCACTCGAGAATGTGAACGGATGTTAAAGATGCTTGTATCAGGACACGAACTTGAGTGTCTAGTAGTTTCACGACAGGTTGATTCCCCCTGGAGGGTGTTTCCGAATTTGTTCGATTTGCAGGAAGTAGAGGCAACGCTGTCGATACCCCGGAGCTTTTTGAGGAGAATCAAAGCCGTTGTAGAGACTGCAAGCTGCTTGCAGCATTTCTTGAATTTTCCAGACATTTCACTCAGGCGTTAGCGCGGAGAGGCCCGTTTGTGAATGCCTTTGCTACTACATCACCTGAACCACCACTTGCTTGAATTGTCAGTCATTGAATTCATTCAACTTCTTGTTGCCATGCTGAGTTTGCAGGCTTGAAACAACGAGATCTTTGATCTTTGTCGAGTCCAAAGGACAGGTGCTATGGCATTTATTTTTTGCATTTTCTGGGCTTTGTACAGGCTGCAATGCCAAATGAGGCATTGCTTTGTTCCAGTTTTCTGTGACAGAAGAGCTTGGATTTGGAAGTACTTGAGGACAAAAGATTGCTATCTATATATATCTATCCGAATCTATGCATACTTGCTCTACCTGCCAGTCTGCACTGTGTATACTGTGTTGTTCTATTCATTGTCAAAGGTCTTGCTTTTCCAAGCTCGATTGTTTTGGCGTTTGTTTTCCACAGGGGCTGGTCTTGAGCCCTTTGTGCAGCGCGAGAGTAGTTCAGTACCCCGAATTTGAAGCCGAAGCGCATGTTTTGCTGAAGAAAGCTGCAAACTGGCACGACATGATCTAATGTTTGTTTATTGAAACGTATGTATTGCTGTAGCTGTAACCATGTTTGATGCTCTTTGATCATGATAGTATCATACCTGGAGCATATGGCATATCGTTTCCAAGACATCCACCTTGGCTTGTTTAGTTTCCGCTGCAGGTATTGAAGAGCCTGAGAGAATCTGTTGCCATGCTTGCAAAAACCTCAGCATTATCAAGTGCATGATTCTCTGAGGATCTAATTTGCTCTTTCAGGCGCTGCCAACATCAGCAGGCGGTGCCATTCACCGACGTTCAGTGTCATTCGCTTTGGACATCGCTTTGACGCATTCCTTCAATTGTGATCACCCCTAGGGTGGTACTTGGGGTATCCTGGGATCTCTCGACCGAAAGGATGAGACAGATCCTGTGCATGAGACAGTGTACTGCTGATTTGGGGTGGGTGAATCAGCTTTAGAGGACATGTTGCTAGGTTCACTGCGCAACACCTGTGCGATTTGCTTCATTTGCAGTTCGGCTTCAACATCCCATCAACTCTACTGAGCACCAAGTGACCTCACGAGCTCAAGAGGTTTGGACTTCGAAGATGCCGTGGCAGATTTTGTCGCCAAGGCAGGAGCACTGCGCCTTCGAACTTTCTATATGGACTGCGCTCACGTTTTTTATTTTAAATAGGCCGCAACTGTTGAGGCTGGAGGCAATCCTGCATCACCGTCGCTGCTGCTTTTTCGTTCGTGACAGTCTCAAGGACATTGAAGTGTGCTTCGTGAAGGGAGACGCCTTTGTTTCATTTTGTGGACTGCTGCTCAGTGGTGAGGCGAATCACGTTCTCCCGCAGTGTGCGGCTGTCTACACCGCTGAAAGGAGCTTCAGCTTTGAAGTTGTAGGCTGGAGGTGGAGGTAGTAGACCGTGTGAAAGCGTCAGGTCTTAGTGTGGAGTGTTTACCATGTTTATTTTCTACTGTATCGAGGTGATATCAGAAGTGGAGTCATTTTGAACCGGTCAGATGACCCGTCAATTTGAATCCATGTTCCAGGAGATCTGGCCGAAGCGCTGAGAGATTGGCGCACGATGCGGACGGCCCGTGGCGAAGTCAGGGAACCGAGATCAGATCAAGGACAATAAGATCTTGGTATAGTGGTTTCAGAATAGATGGCACAACCCCCAAAAGGTGGTTTATATGGATCCCCAATGATCCCCATCTAAAAGACATCTTCGGGTTTGTGCCATCTACTCTGAAACCACTGCAAGATTCCGGAAGAAGAAACACATCAATGGAGATGGCGGAACTGGAAGGGTCATGAAGCTATTTATTGGGTGAAGACCGGCCATCCACGAAACCACACAATTGGAATCATTGGTTCCAGTTGGATTCTTACTGTCATAGTACTCAGTATTGGCATGTTTTGAGCGACCCAAGCCACGGCCGCCCTGAGGTTTGCACCAAGCGCATGGAGGCTCAGGAGCTTGAGGAAAGGTGGAGGAGCCCGGAGAACCTCCGTCCGCGTACGTCCGGTCATTCGTCCGGGTGGTCACCCTCGGTAAGTCGGCTGTAGGGGGTCGCGATCCGGCAACCAGCCCATCAGCGGGAAGAGGCTGGAAAAGGTCGCTTTTGATGGCTTTGTAGATTTGGTTCAAGGGTTTCTGCTTGGCTTGCAGCTCACTCAGCTAGAATGGCTAGCTGTGAGCCTGGATGGATCCGCTCGCTTCGGGCTTCAGCACGGCTCTCGAAGACATCGACGAGAGCATCGAGAGGCTCCGCAAAAAGAGGACGAGCCTCGATCTCCAGAGCCTCTGGAAGGTCCTTGAAGTCCTCGAAGTCTGTCAGATCCGAGTCTGTTCTTGGCAAGGAGCAGTCGGTACTTCAGAGGGTGCCACCCCTAGTTGTGGACATGGATGGACATGAACTATGTGCTGTATAGCAGCTAGATCTATCTAGATCTAGTAAAATGTTTGCTGCGGGACGGACAACAATTCTGACATAGCAAGACCAAAGAGCCAGTCTTCAAAGAAACATGGCTTCGCAGCTCCTCCGTTCCTTTTATGCTTTCCCATCCTGACTATGTTCTTCCCTTTTCTTGCCTGGTTCTGCCCTTTCCCTCCCTTACCTTCTGTTTATCCCCTGCCTTCTCCGCTCCCTTCCTTTTCATGAGCCCTTTAAACATTGTGTTTGTTGTGAGTTGTGAGGCATTTCACACATGCAAGCTTCCCTTGCCATGTTCCATATTTCCCTTGAACACCTGTTGGACACAGTCTAGGAACTTCATATTGTACTGTTCAAGTGGGGAACCTTGAAAGATCTGGGTTCCGGTGCGTCACACATTCCATTCCAAGTGGGTCTTCTTTCTCGCTCCCCCTGATGGGCTCACCTTGGGGCCCGAAGCTCACCTTGGGGCCCGATGCCAGCTGCGCATGCTTTCACGGTCAAAACCCTGAGAAACAGCATGGCCATGCCATGGCCTAAAGAGGCCATGGCTTCCAAGTTTTGGACCAGCAGGCCTTGCATTCCAAGGGTTAGTCAATCCCACCCCTTTCCTGAACACATCAGGGTTTCCTGGACACATCAGGGTCCCAGGGACCCAGACGCTCTAAGTAGTTGCCAACAGCGCTGCCTGTCGCCTGGTGGAAACTGAGGTGTACTGGGTGATGAGATGACTTGCCACGGAGTGCATGGGGTGGGGTGGGGATGGGGATGGGGTGGGGGGTAATAACGTCCATGTGGGCTGGCGCACGCTTGGGACGCTACGTTGATGATGCCACGTGGATGATTGGGGTGGGGCGGGGATGGGGTGGGGTGGGGGCTAATAACGTCCATGTGGGCTGGCGCACACTTTGGACGCTACGTTGATGATGCCACGTGGATGATGCAAGGGATGTAAGGCCCCAGCCCCCTAGGTCCTAGGTGTTTAGTAGATCTTTAGTAGATCAGGTCTTCAATCAATTATGCTCTTGTGTTTGTTCGCTGCTCAGTGGGGTTGCTTGGATGACTTTGATATAAGTGAGAGAGGTGTTTTTTTAAGAGAGTTGAATGAAAATGCGAATGAACTGTGCGCTTGGCAGAGACATATTTGTGTCCAGCTGCTACAAGTGCTTTTAGCTGACCGAGACCACTTCAAGAGGTCCGAATGAGGAGAAAAAAGTAGTTTCTGACATTGCACTTTTCGGCCCCTTTTCGTCGTGCACGCACTTCTATTGAGATACATCACGCAACCACCAATAATACCCAGGCGACCAACAGCGTAGTTCCCAAGTAGTTCAAAGTGCTGCTCAAAATTCTGGATAATCAGTCAAACAGTTTCCCGAGTCTCGGGCACTGTTTTGGGAGTGGTGATGTTTGCGTTTAAGTTTCCAAAAGTACATTCCAAGTTTCAAGGGAGAAATAATATAAATCGGTTCATTGAAGCCATGGTTCTGTTCTGTGTTTGATATATTGTGTGTGTGCTTGCTTCAAGACATTTGATATGTTTTTCTCCGAGCAGGTCTTTCGCCCCCATGATGGAGTCTTGGATTTGGGTGGACAGCAGCTTGGGGATCAGGTAGCCAAGGCAGTTGCTTCTGCTTGGCCATTGCTGGGTGCTCGGGTGGAGCGGCTACACTTGGGTGGGAATGACATCAGCGATGAAGGACCCAGACGCGAAGATTCACAGCCCTGCTGGTTTGTTTCTTCTAGAGCGTATACGCGCATCATATGTGTGTATACTTTTTATGTGATTTCACAATAGTTCATTCTTCCCAGGGTTGCCGACTTGTCATAGAGTCTTGAGTCATGTGCCGAGAGTGCCAGGACTGGCCGTTCTTATTTCAGCCATTCAACGGACTGGCTCCTCGAAGTTATGTCGTTTGAACCTTCGTGGCAACCAGCTCACCACAGCGTCTGCAGAGGTGCAGCGTTCATGAGATGGGCCTGCAAAGGAAACGGGAGAAAAAACCAGGTGTTCTTTTCCTTTTAGCAACGGATGAGTATGCATTGTAAATACATCGTCATGACCGGAATCACTTGGGATAATTTGTCGATATGTGTGTTTTCCAGGCGCTTGCTGCACTCTTGCCCTCACTTCGGCCGCGCTCTCAGTGACCTGTTTCTTCATGCCAAGGGTTTGAACCAAAGTCGTTGGAATCGAAGTCACTTCTTTACTTCGTTTGCGCCACGAATTCTCATGCGCTTGACGATGCTTTTCTTTCTTTTTGATCGAATGCTAACACAACGAAACCGAGGTTGGAGTCTCTGGATTTGGGTGGTAATAGATTGGAGTCGCTGGAGTCTGCAGACTTTCCTGGCGTGCAGCTTTGGTTCTGAATCAGGCAATGGTTTGCATTTGATTATTGAATATTATATTGTATTCTGAGATTTTGGATGTTCCATTTCCGTGTTTATTGGAATTTTACAGAAATATGGCTGACCATGCCGGCCGAGCCACATCATTCATCACCATGTTTTGTCAGGCGCGGAACCATTGATCAAGCCAGTGGACTCGAGAACCTCCAGAGTCGCTCCATCCGTGACGGTGAGCCTTTTCTCACCCACACGGTGATCCTGTGGACCCCGGACCTGCGAACAGCGCAGGGTGAGGATTCCTGTCACTAGGACTCGGATGACGCAAAATGCTGACTGATGTGATCACACTGATCGATTGCGAGCTTCGCAGAGCTTCCCAGAGCTTTGCGGCCTTGCCGGCCCTGAGCCATTTCAGCCCTCCCTTGGACCAGAGCTGAAGCTAATAGAGACAATAGAGTAATTATATGCAAATAATCTGGCAGCAAGCAGACTAATGCAACTGTTGTAGTTTTTGTGTTTCACTTGTTGGTTAGCTGTCCTGGTCCTGGCGGAGGTAGGATGCCAATGCCATGCGGACGAAACAATGTATAGAGTTCCAAGACTCTTACAAGACAAAAAGGACCAAAAAAGGGCAACGCTTGATGCATAAGAGGCTTCCCGACTGAACAAACCAGAACTCATTTCGCGAGGAGGACGCATGCAGCCCTCGCTTCACTTTGGGAACAGCAGCAAATCAAGCCAGGGCGCAAGCGGAGGCTGCAAACTCCAGACCAAGTAATTGCTCTTAGAATCTCTTGGAAAGTTCGTTTGGAAAGCCGGAAGCCGATGCAAGATTTGTTTGATCGTCGCTACACTCATGTCAGGGGCTAGCCGATGCACGGCTTTGTCGCATGCATTTGAACCGCTGAGCAAGCGGGGGAAATCATGAGACAAACTTTCTTCCAGTGGGCATGGTGTCCCTCCACCCGAACTGTGACAACCGAGTGCATGGAAAACCGATGACTCCAATAAACCGATGAACTGCAAGTAAGGAAAGTCGTGGAGGCAACATTACAAGATGGACCGACGCCGCATATTATTGAAGTATCGTTGTTCAAAAGACCCGAACAAAACACTCCAGATTGGCTCCGCGCAAGAAAGCAAACAAAGACCAAGGTTCGCCCGCATAATCCGGCATAGAAGATCATAGAAGCAATTAACTAGAAGCACCAACCAACTACTGAACAAAAAGTAGCCGATGGTCAGTGCAGCACAGACAGTGAGTGCGTAAGTGAAAGCAAGAGGCGAGCAGCCAAGAAAGAGCACGGAGACCACACAGACACCACGAAAAGGAACAGTCAGGCTAGCAAGTGTACTTTCCATAGCATATAGTTGGTGATTATACAAATAACACTATATAGTAATCGATATTTGAGACAACTGTCGATAGTCGGTTTCACTTGACGAGCCAACAATGGCCAGGCAGGTGCCACAGGAGGGCACTGCTTCAGTGCCTTCCTTGGCTCGAATTGCAAACGCCAGGCACGGTCATGCAGCACGGTTATGCCATTGCCATCCCAAGCGGGGCACGGTCACCGCCAGGGTGAAGCAGCAAGAACATGCCAGGGAGGAAATTGATGGGTGGATACCTCAGCAAATCTCAAAGATTCAGATTGTTGAATATTTTTGAAGACATTTGAGGGATACTTTGTCAATTTATTTTGTACCCTTCCCGACTCATGTGAAAAAGAATTTTAATATGTTAGATCTTTACAATGTCAATTGTTAGATCTTTACAATGTCAATTGAAGAACCTTCATGAGGCTATTAGCCCATCAGCCTGCTAAAGGCCGAGAACCTCGGCCTTGGCCGGAAGCGGGTTCAATTCTAGGTACGCCATCAGGCTGGCTTTTCTGACCCCAGCAGTGCAGACTGGCCCCTTGCAGGCCGGGCTGGCGACCTTCGGCGAGTGAGAGCGGCGGACCGGTGTCGGTCACCGGACACCGGTGCTTGCAAGAGGTCGGAGTCGCTGGCCCATGGCCCTCGGTGTTTTGGGGCTGACCAGATGGTGTGACGAGACGGTTTTTGTTGGCTTTGAGGTGCCATGTGTTGTTCGTGAATGAGATTGGTCAATTGGCTCCGTTGGTTCGCCTCTTGCTTCGATCTCCATTAGACGTCCATGGCATCTTCGCCATGGCAACTCCATGGCTTTGACAGTCCCTAGGGACTACGCCTACTTCAGTGGCATATGTGCAAAGAAGTGGCAACCTTGAAGGGTTCTTGCTTCCAGATTTGCAGATTTTGTAGGAGGTCAAGCACTGGAGGTTCCAGAATGAAGACTGTACATGGTTGCACAGATGACTGTTGACATCAAATTGTCGCTGGCGATCTTAAGCCTTAAGCCATCAAGCAACAGTGGCTGGCCAAATGTGAGCAAATATTTATTGTAGACACCTTAGACTCTAAGACGCAGGATGCGCAATCTACACCATGCTACGTAGTAAAATCGTGATGAGGTTCTCAAGCACATCTTGGTGGCAGGGATGACAGCCCCAGAGCAAGGTACTGTATGTATCGGACAGGAACGCCGAACGCGTAGCTCCTGAAGCCCAAAGGAAGGCGTGATGTGGTTGACACCAAATCATGGTTGAAGAGGCAGGGTTTGGATGCTGAGTCCTGGCGGATCGAATGGATGATGAATGAAAAACGCCCCGTTGCCTTTCTTTGCCTCTACTTTACATCATATTAAATAGGATATATCTCCTTAAAGAATAAAACAACAACAATGGTTGTTTGGCAAAGGTCATCAACATACTGTTTGTTGGGTATACTGTATAATTACATGCATTTATTATATATGAAGCTCCATCACAAAACATCACTAGTCGAAGGATGTGAGATAGGAAGATCGGTCTTTCCATGGAGAATGCTCATCAGAACGAGGTCAAAGAACAGACAAAGATCATCAAAGGTCCACAAGCAAATGCTGGGCTCCAGCTCCTATATGGCTATCGCCCTCCTGGGTTTGGAATTGTGATTCAACGCAGCCCATGATATACAACATGTACTTCCTTTACAGTCCCATGGAACGGCGAGCAATGGTCAGTACTGTACAGGGTCTAAGAGACTGGAAAGGAACATATATATATATATATACACACAGGTACCAGACACTTGAATCAGCGTTCTTGTGAGACGTTTCCTTCTACCCGAAGTTGGCTCAGACCACCGTCGCTTGACCCTGTAGTTTTCCTGTCAAATCACATCATATCATATCATATATATATACACATACATATTGATGTTATGTGCTGTATTGTGGCAGACCGTTGACAAAGGCTCTCATGTCACAAGCCAGCACAATGCCGTTTGATACCCTATGTAAAACCCACGAACCACAGCTTTGACCACATGAGCATGGCTTTGACAACATGGGATCGACCAGATTGACACTTTTGTTGATCCTTGTGAAAGCTCGTTCGGAGGAGCTTCTTGTGAAGAGAGCCGATGACACGAGTTTTGAGTGCATGAATCCACTCTTTCGTGGCCAATGGTACACTGGTGAACTGGACATTGCTCAGTTGGAAGCCCGACCAAGAATTCACCAGTTACTGGGATGCAAGCTTTGGAGTGGAAACTCCTCATGCTGCAATTCCAACCTGGAAGCCCTTCAGCGAAGGGCATTTTTGGGGTACAAGGAGCACTTCGACTCGCAAATACATGTATTGGCTGAGTACTCTACTGCTTTGATGGATCTAAAGGACTCGGATGTTTTTGAGATGGCGGAGACCCTGGAGCAAAAATTACTACAACGAGCTATGCACTCCATTCAGTCGGCTGTGAAGCTGGCAGAGAGTTGCATCATTAGGCTTATGGCCTTTGTCGCCGGTATGATATGCTTTGCTTGTCAGCCTGATTGGAGTGCTTTTGTTTGGCGAAGTGGCTTGGGAGAAGTGGTGGGCGTCAACATAGATCCTGAGGCCTGTGTTTATGTTGATTGGGGTTGTGGCATGTTCGGGCGTGCGGTACAAAAGGCATACTCCCATGTGATGGAAAGCACTTTGGCCAAACGCCTTCACACATCATTGCCTGATTTCTCCATGATGTACAGCCGCCTCGAGCTTTGTCGTTGGCTCCGGAGCGTTTTGGCCATGCAGCCCATGTCCCATCGCGCCCATCGCGCCGCGCGACGCTTGGAGCCGTCGCCGGTGACGGTCGATCCGAGCGCCCTGAGCGCCTGGCCCAAAGCCATCGAAGGTGCGACTGCCTTGCCGACCGAATGGCCCACGCCGCAGGCTCCACCGGATGCGACCTCCCCCGCGCTGGCGTTGGATCCGGCAAAAGATGGTTTGGCCACGGACTTTGGAGTGAGTCTTATCCCAAGCTGAAGGAGGACGATTCAGAAGGACGCTAATTTGATTTAGGATAGGATCGGTAACAAGATTCAGCAAAGCCGTTTGCAAAGCAAATCTGAATCAAGCCAACGAGTGCACCAACAGCGAACAAAAATGTGTCCGACCGATCCTTGGCCAAAACTGACACGCGGCCTGTGGCCAGGCTGCGCGCAAGGAAATTGGACGCCTGTTGGTGAGTCTTGGTTTGCCTGGCATGGATTTGTTGTGGTTTTGCACCTGCTTTCAGATGTGCTTTGCAGGAATTGTACTGTAAAAAGATGTAAAAAGCATTTGCATGCATTTGCCAATAGAATGAGGCCCAAGACTCAGAGTAGGAAGGTGGATTTGATTCCAACCGAAGCTAAAAGCTTCCAGTATGCTCACTGCAAGATGCTGCCCACATCATTTTTGCAGTCCTCTTTCTTTGAGGGCCTGGGCAAGTACCTAAGCCGGAAGGGTCTGCAGGTCTGTGGTGCTAGCTGCCGACAGGCTATGGAGTTGGCCTACAACTCTTCAGCTTGGCGATCAGTCGACTTTTCTCAATGGAGCCCTTTAGGGGGCCACACTGAACCGGGAGATATTGATTTGATGCTGGCCTTGAAACGTTTGCGCCATGGATCCTTACGGTGTGTGCTGTTGGAAAGCAGCCGCATCAGCCATCATGCATTCAAAGAGCTTTTGACCATTCAGAGCCAAATCGAAAAGCTGGTCATTCGCAGCCCACCGGCATCAGCTCGTGCTTTCGCATCAGCCCATCAGCTGAAGCATCTGGAACTTTTGGGTCCCTCAACGCTTCTGTGTGCCGAAGCAAAACGCCTGGAAACCCTGGTTCTTCACCTGCCAAGCTTATCCGACCTCCAGGTGTCTTGGATTTTGCTTGGTTTATGCAAGTAGGTTGGAGGCCATTGCTATTAAATATATATATATAATATAGGTTGATGCTTTAATAATGTTTAATCGGGGTATACGAAGACAGTCCACCAGAGTCCCGAACTCCGTCGAGGCAATTCCAAAATTCAAGACACTGAAGATGCTAGAGGCTTCTGGGCTGCAACTTCAACATAGTGCTACGTGCTTTGCGTGCTTTGTCAATGTTCAACATTAAAAGAGTTTGAACTGTCAATGTTTTGAAGAGGCATTTCAAGTATATTCCTCCGTCATCCTCCGTCTCCCTTGTCTCCGTCGCTTTGCACTTTGCCAGGTCTTTCCTCCAGCCATCAGCTTTAGCAGTCACGGCCAGTTGACGCCGCCCGAACCCTTCAAGGCTGCGTGACCGTTGAATGTTGAATTTGTTTTGCCTGCTTGGACAGACCCAGCGTGGACAAATATACATCAAAAGAAAATCACTGGTTGGATCTAGTTGCAAGATGTTGCAAGCTTACACGTGTGGACATCGATTTGACCGGGTTCGAGCATGTTACATGATAAATGACTATTATATTAAGGGATTGAATTTCCTCTATAAACCATGGACCTCGGGGGTATTCCTACCCCTACATGTTTATTGTGGACGTGAAGCTGACGTGTGCCTTTGTTAGCTTTGCTGTTCAGGAGGCCTTGCTGCAAATCTTTCAGAGCTGCAAGCAGCTAGAGCATGTGCGTTTGTGGGGGTCTCTCGGTGGACACGTATGTGATTTTGGTGTTTGTTGTCTCTTCGAGCCCTTGTTGTTATCCCTTCTTGATGCCACCACAATTTCTTTGATAGATCACTCTTGACTGGACCAGGATTTACAATGCTTGCGACAACTTGATGCTTCGAGCTTTGAGCCATTTGGATCTTCAAGAGCTCCATGGCTACTACTTGGAGGCAAAGCCAGCAAAGCCAGCACTTTTCTGTGTGTTGATTTGTGCTTTCGACACGTTTGAGCTGACAGGATGTGGACAATCGGTTGCTGAACGAGCTGAAAAGGAAGTGCAAAGTTCACTTGGACATTGTTCCTTGAAGCTGAAGAAGCTTGAGTATCACAGCGATTCTCAACGCTTTTCAGAGCTTCTTGGGCTGAAGGGGCAAGACGGTATCATTTAAGCTGTAAGCTCCGAAGCTTTGAGCTGTAAGCTGCTTTTGCAGCGGCAGCGAGCCGCTGCATTGAGCGCTGGGGAAGAGAGCGACTGGATGTTTCTCCCGACTTCGGGTAACACTCAAGGGCCATCAAAGCCGTATAGAAAGATGTAGGTCAAGACTTACCTCCAAAGTCACCGGCTGTTCTAATGCTTAGGTTCTGTACATTGAATCATAGTTCAGGCATGCTGCTGTATCAGATTCTCAGTTGACCTCGAAACCCACGGACTTTGTAAGATTGTAAAGCACGGTACAGCATGGTCCGCACGGTGGCTGCTGAATCCTATTTGCAATTCATGCATATTCGTGCACTGCTTGTGAAGATGTGCAAGGAATTTGGCTGGGTGGTGCCACTAATTCGTTTGGATCTTTCAGAAATCACATTGGCACGCTGAAGCATGAGCTCGGAGTTCGGAGTTCTTTCAGCTCTTTTTTTGTTTGACCGCCACGAGTACGGGGGAGGGACGTGTGCAGAGACGATGGGCACCTCAGAGGTGCAGATGACTGGGAGGAAGATGCCGTGGACCTGCTCCTGGGAGTTGGGGCACTCGTCCGGAAGACGCGTGGCACTTCTCGGTGTCACCAAGTGTCACCCTGTCGTGTCGTGGATCAAGGAGGTGT